TCAGGCGTAGAACCACCTGCCTTTTTTAGCCTTGGCTCCACTCTAACTCCTCCTTCTGCGGCCGCTACCGCCGCGCTCTCGTTCATGCTAGACTCTGGCGCGTCAGCCTGCTTCTTTCGTGACCACACTGCGCTCATGCCGCTTGCTGCCCCTGCTGCTGTAATGCTTGTTGACCCCTCCTCATGTCCGGTAGTTGCCAGTAGCTCCACTACCCTTCCCTGTCCGGCGGTTCCCTTGGGCTCTCTTACGCGCTTGCGCATCCCTTAGTTCTCCAGGAACCTAGTTTATGTCAGCTGTCTACAGGACCTCGGCATCACCAATACGTTTCCCAGACACGAGCGGTACGCGGTCTGTACCGAGGCCGCCACTGCTGCCCCTCTTACCACGTTTCCTTGGGACCCTGTGTCTAGCCTTTTCACCCTAGACACCGCATCCCCCCTGGTGGGAGCGTCCCCCCAGGTCGCCGCGTCCTCCCAGGTTGCTGCGGCTTGCTCGTGTCGGTCGCTCACCCACCCGTCGCTACTGTGGCACCACCGCCTAGGTCACCCCGCACTCCCCCGTTTGCATCACATATCCCATCATGGTCTTGTCTTCGGTCTCCCTGCGTCTCTCCTTGCCCTCCCTCCCTTGCCTGTGCTGCCGTGCACACCCTGCGTCGAGCGCCGGCTGCACCGTGCCTCTCACTCCTCCTCGCTCCCCCGTACGACTGCTCCATTCAAAACGTCTAGGGCCCAGCCCCTGTCCCTGGGCCACGTTGAGAGTGCTTCTTCTTAGTGCTTGTCAACAACTACACGTGCTACACCATGGTGTTTCCCCTGGAGCGGAAGGCCTATGTGCCTGACGTTTTTATCCCGTGGTTCGTAGCTGCGCGAGTCCACCGCGGCCTCCCTGTGCTGCGTCTCCACTCCGACCGTGGCGGCGAGTTCGCCTCCGGTCGGCTTGGCCAGTTCTCTCATGCGGAGGGCATCACCTAGTCGTACACCCTGCCGGACTATCCGCAGCAGAATGGGGTTGTTGAGCGACGCATCACTTTGGTCATGAAGGTGGCTCGTACCTCCATTTTCCATGCTAGTGCACCCAATTTTTAGTGGCCGTTCGCTGCTCGCTACGCCGCTCACTAACTTAACCTGTGGCCGCAGGTTTCACCGACCCTCCTTTGGACCGGGTTCCCTGGTGATGCGTATGCATTCCACGTGTAGGGTTGCCTTGCTCACGTTCGTGCCTCTGGCACGGACAAGCTCACTGCCCGCATCGTCCCTTGTGTCTTCCTTGGTTTCCCCTTAGACACGTCTGACTGGCACTTTTGCCACCTGTCGTCTCACCGTTTCCTCCACTCTCGTAACGTCACTTTTGATGAGTTTGTCTCTTACTGCACCCGCTTTCCCCACCGAGGTCTCTCGGTTGCCCCAACCCTGTTCCTGGTCCCCACTCCCCCGGTAGCCCCTGCTCCTCTTCCTCCCCATCCTGCCCTGTCTGGTGTGTCTCACGTCACTCCCCTCTCACCGGTTGTCCCGGTGGAGGATTCGGCTGACTCCGGGGGACCTGCGACTTTAGTTTCGCCACCCATCTCCACCCCGGTGTCTCCTCCTCCTCTGCCACCATAGTAGCCGTAGTCGTCGCCGAAGCACCATCTGCCGTTGCCACCGTCGCAGCCGTAGCAGCAGCCATCGCCGCTGCCACCGCCACCGCCGCAGGGGTCCGCGAGCTCTGGGGGTGTGGGCGTTGAGGAGGGTGCTAGTCCTACGGGTATTGTCATGGCTTGTCCCGGGGGTCCTGGGGGTGGCACCGGTGATGGAGAGGGTTCTCGTTCTGTTGGCACTATTGTGGAGCGTCCTAGAGGTAGCCATGGTGCAGCTGGAGGTACTGGTGTCGGTGTGGAGCAGCAGCAGCAGTCGCCGCCGATGTCCGCCCTTCGCCTTCTCAGTCTTCCCTCCCCTAAACACCCACCTGAGCCTCCCTCGCCTGTCTACGGCCCTGTGTTTCCTCAGCCGGACTCGTCTTAGGCTCGTTTCCCCCCTTGTTCTTCTCCTGTGTCTCCTCTCGTGTCTCCTGACCCGACGCCTCCCTCCCACTTCTAGTCTTGCCGTCCCTCTTGTGCTCGTCCGGTGTCCCCTTTTCAGCACTCTCACCCTATGTTGCTCCGTTCCCACGTGCCTCGTCCTCCCCTCCTCCCGTCGCCTCCTCCGTCGTCGCTTCTTGTAACTCCGCTTCCCCTGTCTGACTTCCTTTGTGAAGCTAGTCCTCTCGTTCCTCATGTACTTGCCTCCTTCATTACCGACCCATCCGTTCCTGTCTCCAGTCTTAACGTGCTTGTCGCTGCCGTCAATGACTTTGCCTCTACACGCCACCTTGACTACGCCATCGCTCTGGTCTCTGACCCTGCCCGTCCTCTGTCCGTCGAGGGTGCTTCTGCCCTTGGCAGTGACACCTAGAGGACCGTCAGTACGAGCTCGCTTTCCTGTCCGAGGTCGCTCCTCATCTCTGCTCCATGCTGCTAGTTATGAGGGTGACCCAAACAACTTTGATATCCCGACCCCTCGTACCTACACTGAGGCGACCTTGGGACCCTGTGCCTCTCAGTGGATAGCTGCCATGGATGCGGAGATGGCATCTTGGAGATCCATGGGCACCTACGTCGACGCAGTTCCCCCACCTTGGGTGAACGTAGTCGATGGCCGGTGGCTGTTCAAGTTGAAGCGCCCTTCCGGAGAGCCGCATGTTTTCAGGGCGCCCTACGTTGCTAGAGGCTTCAGTCAGCGTGAGGGTGTTGACTTCTTCCAGACCTTCGCTCCGACCCCGAAGATGACTACTCTTCCTGCATTGCTATACGTAGCAGCACATCGTGACTACGAGCTGCACTCCCTCGACTTCTCTATAGCGTTCCTTCAGGGTAGTCTGCACGAGCAGGTCTACATGCGTCGCCTACCAGGCTTCACCGGCACCTTTGCCCCGAGGACCCAATGGCTCCTCCGGCGCCCGGTTTATGGCCTGCGGCAGGCACCACGTGAGTGGCCCGACACGATGTGTGCTACGTTAGCTGGCCTGCAGTTCTTCCCGTCGTCTGCAGACCCGTCACTTTCCATTTGTTCTGGCAAGACCCCGTTCTACATCCTTGTCTTCGTAGACGATCTGGTCTTCGCTACTACAGATAGTGACGCACTGGCCTCAATGAAGGCTGAGCTACTGAGGTGATACATCTGCACTAACCTAGGATAGCTGCGCTGCTACCTTGGCCTGCAGATCTCCAGGGACAGAGCAACGCGCACCATAACTCATACACAGTCACACTGGGGTGCGCCAGGTCCTTCAGAGGTTCGGTCTCCAGTTCTCCTCCGCACAGCCTACACCTCTACCAGTTGACCACATGCTCTCAGCTCCAATTCCTAAGGAGTTAGTAGAGCCTAGTGGTCCTTACGCAGAGCTGGTGGGTTGCCCCATGTACTTGATGACTAGCACTCGCCCAGATCTCGCATACCCTCTCAGCATCCTAGCTCGCTTTGTGGCCACAGGGAGACACCGACCATAGCACTGGTCGGCAGTTGAGAGGGTTTTGCGTTATCTAGCAAGTACATCGGGCATGGGACTGGTGCTAGGAGGACGCAGACTAGTGATCCTTACAGGGCACATAGACGCTCCGTGGGCAGAAGACACTAAGACACTCAGGTCCTTCCAGGGCTACTGCTTTAGCCTTGGTGCAGGTGCCATCTCGTGGAGGTCCACCCGGTCGTCGTCTGTTACCTAGTCTAGCTGTGAGGCTTAGATCTACGCCGGTGCCATGGCGGCACAGGAGCTCCGCTGGCTGACCTTCTTGCTCACTAACTTAGGTGAGCGGCCTAGCTCTGCCCCGGTCCTGTACGCTGACAACATTACCATGATCCTCCTTTGTCAGGAGCCTCGACTGGAGGGCAGATCGAAGCACATCAAGCTGCGGTACTTCCTCCTACGCGAGTAACAGCAGCGCCGCCAGGCCCGCGTAGTTCACTTGGCCTTTGGTGCCAACACCGCTGATATCTTTACGAAGCCACTTGCGCCTAAAGATCATTAGTGGCACTTTGTACAGCTTGGTCTAGTTCCTGTAGCTTCTCACTTGCTATGACCTTGAGTGAGTACTATATCTTATATTATCTTGTCTGGCCTTATGGCCCCTTTTCTAGTGGTTGGACTAGAAGTGCTGCCCTGAGTTGCTCTTGTTTCCTGTGTACTCTTGCAGACTGGTCTTCAGACCCTTGCTTTAGAGGTTGGCCTAGTAGTGCCACCTTGAGCTGCGTGTCTCGTGCTGGTCGTTGCCCCTTGTCTAGCTTAGGGGGTGTGTCAACATATATTTTGTATATGTTATACGCTAGATAGGTGCAGTCTTTCAGAGAGTACAACCCCTTAGACAACACTACCCAGTATCTCTAATTCGACTCAACAATTCTACTATGAGAGGGGCTGCTTGCGTGGAAGATTCGCAACTAGTCGAAAACCAGAATTTATGGGAAGGTTTGTGGGCTATGGATGGGCGGGGCTGCCCGCGTGGCTGATTCGACACTAGTCGAATTTCGAGGGTTTGGAGAGTTTCTTGTCTCAGGGTGTTTTCAAGCGCACCCTGACTGGTCAGGGTAAAATGCTGAGCAGCCTGACTACATTAGGGTAATTAATTCTCTTTAGAATTTTTATTAGGGTCAAACAATTCGCCCTTACAAAATCAGGACATTCTTGAAAAATTATCCCCTGACAAGGGTAATCAGGGTGAAATACCTTTCAAATCCTGGCCCTCACGGGCTTCGAGAGCTAGAGCCCTTTTCCAGAGCATTAGTTTCTGTATTAAGGTGACAGTAATGTGCTCGTTCCTTCCCCTCTGTAACATGTCATCACCTCGCTTTGTGCGCATGCATTTTCAGCAACATTTTCGCCTTCCACCACAAAAAGGCACGCCACAGCTAACCCATTGCACCACCCATTCCCGCTAAGGACGATACCTCAGTTTCTGGTGCAAGCATACTACGAAGCAAGTCGCTGTGAGTGCGCAAGGCTTATTTGGATTACAATATCAGCATGTACAATCTACAAGAAATAAAAAGCGGTATAAATTACGGCAACAGAGACTATTGCGGCTTAGACCATCGCGGCGACGCCCTGCGACTTGGGCGTCTGCACCTGCAGCGCGTACTTCTGCCCGCGCACCACGGCGTACATCTGGTCGGGCGCGATGTAGTCGCACGTGCGCTCGATGCGGAAGGGCTGGCCGGGGATCTGGTCGCCCGAGTGGATCTGCACGCCCGTGATCACCGCGTAGTCCGCCGTCGCCGGGTCCACCGTCAGCGAGATGAGCTTCTCCAAGTCCTCGTTGATCGCCGCCAGCGCCGCTTTCGTCACCTGCACGAGAGACAGATCAGCTCCAGGCGACTTCGACACCTGTGGGGTGATGGGGAAGGGGGGGTAAGGGGCAGGAGAAATGAGCACACGTATTCGAAAATCGATAAGGAATGGATTCGGAGATTTTGGAAAGTATGCTTCAATTCTTTCTGTTTTCTTCAAACAAAACGAGAAACTTCTTTAATGTTCTTGCAGATTCTATTCACGTCTCTCACCTTGGTCATAATCTTTTTGCGCAGCAGCGTGTACTCGGGGTCGTCGCTGTCCATGCTGGGCGCCGCTCCGCCATTGATGTCGTTGTTGATGGCGATCAACGCTCCGCATGCGCTCGACGGCTTGCCACGACCGCGACGCAGCAGCGACCCCACCTCGCCCGACTCGCCGATGGACACATGGGGGAACGCGAAGAAGATGTCTGGCGAGATGGGAAAGGGGAAGGTGTGCGAGAAACAGAAAATTAACATGACAGAACTACGGAGAAAAGTGAACATCATAGCAAAAGAGGTGAACATCATTAAACCTGAAACAAAGCATACTGTTTAGGTCGCCAGCAGCCGCAACTCACATCGTTCCTTGAGGTTGCCGTCGACGTCGCAGGGGAACTCGGGCGAGTGGCTCATGGCGGCTTTGAAGCCGACCTTGCCGCAGTTGACGAGCCCGCCCAGCCCGGAGATGTTGAAGCTCAGCCCGAACTCGCGATCGATGATGCTCACCACGGGCCGGCACACCTCGTCGCGACACGTGTTCACCAGCGCGATGCCGTTGTCCTTGCGGAACCCCAGCTTCGCCAGCTCCACCGCCACCGCCTTCAGAAACGCCTCCTCCTGCATCGCCGCCGGGAAAGTCGCCGCCATTGTCGCCAGCGCCGACGACGCCGCGTGCTTCGCGCGCGGGACGATGCCGCTGGGCGGCGCGTTGGACGCGGCGGGAGCGGCGGCGGCGGGTGCGGCGGGAGCGGCGGCGGGAGACGCGGTGAGCTTCTTCACGGCGACGTAGGTCGCGGCGCCGAGAGCGCCAGCGCCGACGATGGCGGGGAGGAGGGCGCCAGCGCCGGGAGCGGCGGGGGCGGCGGTGGATTGAGAAACACTGGCGAAGTGCGCGTCGGAGTTGGCGCTGGCGACAACGCGGACGGCGCGGCGGCAGGTTGCGCATGTGCACGCCTTGGCGGAGGCGGAAGCGGAAGCCTTCTTGTGCGCCTTGAGCCCGGAGAAGGAGGGGAGGGCGACACGGGAGGAAGTGGAAAGGCTGCTTCCTTCTGGGACAGAGAGGGAGCGAAGTGCGGCAGATGCAGTGGAAGGAAGAGTCGCGGCCATTGTGATTGAGTCTTAAAAAAGACCTGAAGCTTCACTGAAGGCTTGGGTATTTGAAAGTATTTACAATGGCGGGTTCGGTAGATATCTCGACCGGACAGAATAGGCGTGAAGAAGCTCGTTCGTTGAGAATCAAGCGGTCGAGAAAGCGAATTTATGTTCGTCGTTGCTCGACTGACAACAGCGCTGCTGTTCTGAGAAGCGTATGAGAGGGAGGGGGTGCAGGATGAAGGGAGTCGAGGGAGCATTTCGGTTTTGCTGGGAATTTCCGAATCTCGTCTAGAATTCTGGCCTTCGCGGGCCGAGTAGTTTTCAACGGGATACAGTTCGGTTCTCCCTCGGGCCATTCTCTGTCCTACGGTTCGCTCCGCCTTGGTTGAGTTTCGGATGAGCTGGATGATCCACACTGGACGTCCACCTCGGATTTTCTGCCACGTCCGACATTCTTCTGAAAGTCAATGGTTCCAACTTCGTTTCCGAAGCGCACATTTCAGAGACACGTCCCTCTTCCAGTTTCCCGCTTTTCAGGCTCCCGTACACTGGGTTCGCTAGAGAAGCGAATGTGCCTATCATCGAAGAGGAATTTGCTTGAGCTTTGGCATTACCAAGGCCGATACCTCCCCGTTCCTATTCGATGAGGGAAAATATGAAAATCACAGGAGGAGGTTGTTGACGACTGAACATTGGGAGCGTGGTGCAGGGGAAAATTCTCAGGAACATGTGACAGAAGCGCTTTAGGGCGTGTCCAGCGCGTACGTTTTCAATTCAGTTAATGCGGTTCAGTGTTGTGCTCGGCGTTCCAACGTGGTCAATAGCGGAAACAGTTATTGACCAGGATGTATCGTACTGAACCGTGTTTTATGTACAGAAACCGCACGCGCTGGACACTCCCTCTCCAGAAATTACATATGCATGTCTTACACAAAAAAATGGAAAAGCCCTTCGTAGACTTGGCACGACGACACACACAGTCAGACGCTTGGTAAACAAAACACGGTGCACGGTTCGGCTGCAGGTGCTCACTCATGGTTGTTGCTGCGAGTATTTTGTTTGCGCTTGCATCCCTTGAAATGCCGACATTGGCCTTCAAACATTGATTCAAGCCAGACAGTACCATACGGTAACACGTGCACCCTCTAAACAGCCCTTCGCTTCTACGAGCTAAGCTAAAATTGAGAGCATATCACGCCGTTGGCTTTCACTTCCCGGCCCGAGTCATATGCCCATGGCTCTTTCACAGGCTTACAAATGACGGGGCAAGCATTCACATACTGTGTATGTTACTAATACTCTCGCAACTGTCCGAACTAAGCAATAGCTAGTGGAGCTCGAAATATCATTCAATCCTGACGCATAGTGATTGCCTAACATGAAACTTAATCGAGATTGACAATAATTGAACGTAATCGAGTTCCTCATTAAACAGTGGAATACAATAATTTACAGGTGGAAACTAGGGACTTGCGCTTCAGAGAACCGGACACTCGCGATCTCTACGGTTAGTACGCACTAAACTGAACTAATTATCTCAAACCATCGCGGCGACGCCTTCGGACTTGGGCGTCTGCACCTGCAGCGCGTACTTCTGCCCGCGCACCACGGCGTACATCTGGTCGGGCGCGATGTAGTCGCACGTGCGCTCGATGCGGAAGGGCTGGCCGGGGATCTGGTCGCCCGAGTGGATCTGCACGCCCGTGATCACCGCGTAGTCCGCCGTCGCCGGGTCCACCGTCAGCGAGATGAGCTTCTCCAGATCCTCGTTGATCGCCGCCAGCGCCGCCTTGGTCACCTGCACCAGGGACAGATCGCCGGTACTCTCGGACACCTGTAGCGGGAGACGAGGCGGGAGGTTGAGGAAAGGGGAGAATTGACACACGTATTCCTGAATCAAAAGGAATGGATCGGATTTAAGTATGCTCATTTCTTTCTTCAACACTGGGACTTCTTTACGAAGCCTTGCAGATTCTATTCAACGTCCTCACCTTGGTCATGATCTTTTTGCGCAGCAGCGTGTACTCGGGGTCGTCGCTGTCCATGCTGGGCGCCGCTCCGCCGTTGATGTCGTTGTTGATGGCGATCAACGCTCCGCATGCGCTCGACGGCTTGCCGCGACCGCGACGCAGCAGCGACCCCACCTCGCCCGACTCGCCGATGGACACGTGGGGGAACGCGAAGAAGATGTCTGGCGAGATGGGAAAGGGGAGGGTGTGCGAGAAGCAGAAAATTAACATGACAGAACTACGGAGAAAAGTGAACATCATAGCAAAAGAGGTGGGAGATTGAACCTGAAACAAAGCATACTGTTTAGGTCGCCAGCAGCCGCAACTCACATCGCTCCTTGAGGTTGCCGTCGACGTCGCAGGGGAACTCGGGCGAGTGGCTCATGGCGGCTTTGAAGCCGACCTTGCCGCAGTTGACGAGCCCGCCCAGCCCGGAGATGTTGAAGCTCAGCCCGAACTCGCGGTCGATGATGCTCACCACGGGCCGGCACACCTCGTCGCGACACGTGTTCACCAGCGCGATGCCGTTGTCCTTGCGGAACCCCAGCTTCGCCAGCTCCACCGCCACCGCCTTCAGAAACGCCTCCTCCTGCATCGCCGCCGGGAAAGTCGCCGCCATCGTCGCTAGCGCCGGACGACGCCGCGTGCTTCGCGCGCGGGACGATGCCGCTGGGCGGCGCGTTGGACGCGGTGGGAGCGGCGGCGGCGGGTGCGGCGGGAGCGGCGGCGGGAGACGCGGTGAGCTTCTTCACGGCGACGTAGGTCGCGGCGCCGAGAGCGCCGGCGCCAACGATGGCGGGGAGGAGGGCGTTAGCGCCGGGAGCGGCAGGGGCGGCGGTGGATTGAGAAACACTGGCGAAGTGCGCGTCGGAGTTGGCGCTGGCGACAACGCGGACGGCGCGGCGGCAGGTTGCGCATGTGCACGCCTTGGTGGAGGCGGAAGCGGAAGCCTTCTTGTGCGCCTTGAGTCCGGAGAAGGCGGGGAGAGCTGCGCGGGATGAGGTGGTTGCCTGGGAAATGGAGAGAGACTGCATGCTGGCAGCAAAGGTGGAGGAGAGAGTAGCAGCAGCCATGGCTAATACGAGATAAGTTTGAGGCTGAAAGGAGACTGAAGAAGAGCCGAAGAACGAAGTAAGAACCTCGTAGCAGGATGCAAAAACTGAGAGAGAGTAAGATGCTGATAAGAAGTTTGGAAATGTGAACGGATTTATATTATTCAGGGGCAGAAGTGAGCTGAGAGGAGGGAAGTTGGAGGGGCGCTGAAATGCAAGCACGCGAAAAGGCCGCAATGTTTGGAAAGATAGATGCCACGTCACTTGGGCTCCTTCTGGTGGTGGCTGAAGGCTCGATCTTTCGAAGTGGAGTCTTGGTTTTCCATATGGCACTCGACGATTAGCTCTTGTGTGCGGTCCGGGGTTTCAAGCATTGTGCATTCTTCCGAGTGGTGTCTGTGTGCGGGTGGAAGCATCCTCACATGTTGCTGGTTTATTTATACATAACATTCAGTAAATGTAGGTCTAAAGAGGTTTATCAGTGACTTTCAAGCCTTCGCTCAACTGGGGTAGTGGCCTCAGATTTTCGTCCCTGTTGTGCTAAGATCAGGACGTGCTGTAAAAAGAGATCCCTTTTTTTTTTTTTTTAGGGTTCCTTTTCTTCAATCTAAATGTTCACTGGGGCTGACACCCCCTTCGGTTATTGATGGTCGTCTTCTAGCTTATCATCGAAGAGGATAACGCCAAGCGTGTGCCTCATTCATGCCACACCAGTAACCTGGTTCCTCTCCGATGATAGGCGCAACACCTCCTGCAGGCTTGGTGAACGCGACCCTGAAAAGCGGGAAACTGGAAGGGGGGGAAAGCTAAATGCGCGCCTCGAGCACAAAATTGGAGCCATTGACTTGTCGACGAATGTCCAACGTTGCAGGTTGCCGAGCTGGATACATGACGTGAGTCATCCAAACCACTTCAGGGCTCGGTAACCCGGGGCAGCACCAACCGCAGAATGAGGCACAGCCCCAACCAGTTCCTGAATCCTGGGCGAAATTCGGGACAAAATTCGGAACCAGCCTAGCTCACGGAAACAGCACTTCCATCAGCGAAATTGGCACTTGCGGAATCGCAAGCCATCCAGTGTGCCTCTGACAACAGATAAAGGGAGACCACATTTCAATTGTTGCACACCAGCTCGTCTCGCGCATTCTTCCTACGTGTCGCGCTCACTTCACAGCCATTCAGAGTATTTCCCCAGATTCCAAAACCATTCGTCACAATGGCCGCTACCCTTTCATCCTCTGCATCCGCCGCTCTTCGCTCCCTCTCTGTCCCTGAGGGCAGCAGCCTTTCCACTTCCTCCCGCGCGACAATCCCTGGGTTTTCCGGCCTCAAGGCCCAAAGCGGACTTTCTGCCTCTACCGGAAGTCAAACATGCACATGCGTGTCATGCGGCCGAACCTGCGCCTGCCCATGCGCGAAATGCGGTAACCGTCGCACAAGCATCGTCGCCATGGCCAGTGCAGACAGCCAATTCGCCAGCGTTTCGCAATCCACCGCCGCCCCCGCCGCTCCCGGCGCTAACGCCCTCCTCCCCGCCATCGTCGGCGCCGGCGCTCTCGGCGCCGCGACCTACGTCGCCGTGAAGAAGCTCACCGCGTCTCCCGCCGCCGCTCCCGCCGCACCCGCCGCCGCCGCTCCCGCCGCGTCCAACGCGCCGCCCAGCGGCATCGTCCCGCGCGCGAAGCACGCGGCGTCCTCGGCTCTAGCGACGATGGCGGCGACTTTCCCGGCGGCGATGCAGGAGGAGGCGTTTCTGAAGGCGGTGGCGGTGGAGCTGGCGAAGCTGGGGTTCCGCAAGGACAACGGCATCGCGCTGGTGAACACGTGTCGTGACGAGGTGTGCCGGCCCGTGGTGAGCATCATCGACCGCGAGTTCGGGCTGAGCTTCAACATCTCCGGGCTGGGCGGGCTCGTCAACTGCGGCAAGGTCGGCTTCAAAGCCGCCATGAGCCACTCGCCCGAGTTCCCCTGCGACGTCGACGGCAACCTCAAGGAGCGATGTGAGTTGCGGCTGCTGGCGACCTAAACAGTATGCTTTGTTTCAGGTTCAATCTCCCACCTCTTTTGCTATGATGTTCACTTTTCTCCGTAGTTCTGTCATGTTAATTTTCTGCTTCTCGCACACCCTCCCGTTTCCCATCTCGCCAGACATCTTCTTCGCGTTCCCCCACGTGTCCATCGGCGAGTCGGGTGAGGTGGGGTCGCTGCTGCGTCGCGGTCGCGGCAAGCCGTCGAGCGCATGCGGAGCGTTGATCGCCATCAACAACGACATCAACGGCGGAGCGGCGCCCAGCATGGACAGCGACGACCCCGAGTACACGCTGCTGCGCAAAAAGATCATGACCAAGGTGAGAGACGTGAATAGAATCTGCAAGAACATTAAAGAAGTTTCTCGTTTTGTTTGAAGAAAACAGAAAGAATTGAAGCATACTTTCCAAATTTTCCGAATCCATTCCTTTTCGATTTTCGAATACGTGTGCTCATTTCTCCTGCCCCTTATCCCCCCTTCCCCATCACCCCACAGGTGTCGAAGTCCCCTGGAGCTGATCTGTCTCTCGTGCAGGTGACGAAGGCGGCGCTGGCGGCGATCAACGAGGACCTGGAGAAGCTCATCTCGCTGACGGTGGACCCGGCGACGGCGGACTACGCGGTGATCACGGGCGTGCAGATCCACTCGGGCGACCAGATCCCCGGCCAGCCCTTCCGCATCGAGCGCACGTGCGACTACATCGCGCCCGACCAGATGTACGCCGTGGTGCGCGGGCAGAAGTACGCGCTGCAGGTGCAGACGCCCAAGTCGCAGGGTGTCGCCGCGATGGTCTAAAGTTGTAGCCTCTTCGAGTCTCTGAGACGGTCTTGAGTTCTAACCTGTGCAGTTTGCGATACCCAAAAGGGTACTTGTTTTTCGCTTCCGTGAAGCGTTTGATCAGGTTTGCTTTGATTCAGGTTTGTAAGTATGTACTCTTATTGCAGTAATGTCATCAATCGTTAGCAGCGGCAGCCAGGCAAAACAGCTAGCAGACGCACGTAGGTCCTACAAGCTAGACTGCAGCTGGTTGAAATGGTGGTGTGTCCCCTGCATTGGTGGCGTGGGCCCGTCGCACAACGCCAGCCATGAAATTGAAGGTGTATGCCATAGGAGACACCACCTCAGCCAGTGGCTGCTAGGAGCTGTGGTGTTGACTACGGAGCACTCGCTGCTGTGTGCTTGCTGGTATGCTGATGTAAGCTGGTATGAATGTCATCTGGAAGGAAGGTTGTAAAGACGGTGAAGTCACAAGCGCGGAAAGGTTGCGCGAATGGTGACACCAGTTGCTCATTCGCGCTTTAGCCATTTGAAAATGCAACACATAAAATCAGTTCATTCAGTGAGCCTGGTACACCATAGAAAGCCAACAACTCACGCATTGTGCAATGCAAGGAGGGTAGTGTGATAAACCACGCCGCGACAGGTGCACAGGAACTATTAAGTTATGCGCTCGAATTGTATTGCAACTACTAGATGCTCTTTTGACCCCTTGAGGATAAAGAAAAACTATTGATTCACCACTCTCTGCTTGCTGCAGGTGTGGTGTAATAGCCTGTTAAAAAGGCTATCACCCTGATAAAAATGGATGCATGCTGCCGTAGATGCATGATACGATGCAACACGTTACATAGTTGCTGGGATTGACTTGGCATCCTGTCAGGCATGCTGTTGAGATATAAAGTCAGTTCTCTCACATGCAGCACTCACGGGTACGAGCCATGGACAGATAGTGAAGTGACTGTTGGAAAGGCTCCACTCAGCCCGAGTGACTTCTGAGCGGACTCAAAAATCCCCGTGCTTCAAATCACATGCGTCGTCATGAGTACGAGCTGAGATTTACCGCCTTGTCAATTAGATGCGATGCGAGAGCTGCACTCCCATAGACATCAAGAGAGGGGCACGCACGGATGGGAAGATGCACCCATGTAGGAGTGAGTGTGCATTCCTTTAGACTCAGTTTATCTCATCATATAGCTAAGCTCACACACACACACACTCAGGTACATCGAAACAGGGTGAATGTGATTGACTCAGTTTAGCATGTGCACAGAATATAGTTCTGAGGCGCCTCAAAACTACCCTCAGAATAGGCAGACCGAGAGGCAGACACATAGAGAGGTAAGCACGCACATAGAGACACGGGGATAGCAGCATGCACATACTGAGACGCAGAGATGAAGGCAAAGCGGGAGAGCAAATCAGCAAGAAAACAACAAAACTACATGGCTTTCTTCAGCGGAACAACTCAAAATCACAAGTTGTTCTGCCAATTTCTTCAGCTTTGTACAACTGTGCGTCCACATGGCATGGCATGACCATCCACATGGTCATGTGCATCCAAGGGCGATGCCATCCACATGGCATGACCCACACTGGCTGTAACCTCTACAATCATGGGCGGACACCGTCAGATGAGTGCACCATGCTTACTGGTCCTCGTGCTGCTGCTCTTCAATGCTCCCCGTGATTCTCCTCTCCACTAGCGGTGCTTCGGAAGACTCCCCCACTACCATCGCACTCACCCTGTCTGTGAGATTTCTTTTGAGGCGCCTCAAAATGAGACGAATTTTGAGGCGCCTAAAAAAGCTCCACCACTACCATCGCACCCACCCTGTCTGTGAGATTTACGCTTCTGAGTCGACTCAAAATCAGTGCGCCACGCTTACAGGTGCTCGTGCTTCGATGCGCCTCATGACTCGCCACCAGCGGTGCTTCGATGCACCTCGTGACTCGCCATTAGCGGTGCGTCAAAAACTCCACCGTCACCATTTTGAAGTTCCTTAATATAATGGTCGTACGCGCTCACCTTTACCTCCAAACTTATATTTCTATTATGGTCGTATGCACTCACCTTTACCTCCAAACTTATATTTCTATTATGGTCGTTCGCGCCCACCTTGACTGTAGTCTCTGCAATCATGGGAGAACACCGTCAGATCGGTGCGCCACGTGGCATTGAACGATTGAACAGCATCGAGCGTGTCAGAGTGAGCAGACAAGCCGACACACCAGCAGCGGCGGGAGGGGAGGTGGGAGAGGGGCCGAATGAGCAAGTAGCCTGGGGAGAGTGGAAGGGGAGGGAGGGAATTGGGGATGGAAAGGGGGGTTTGGGGAATGGAGGAGGAGCAGAGGATGGGGGGGGGGGGGGGGGGGGAGGAGGGCGGAGGGGGAGCAGCAGAGGGTGCAGGAGGGAGGTGAGGGGAGCAAGGCAAGCGGTCGAACGGGCAGAAATCGCTTTAAGCCACCTCAGAACGTTGTTACTGGCAACCGGAACAAAACTTAAAAGACAAGGTTTCGGATACCAGCAGCAAATCTGGAGGCAAGTGCCCGGCGATGGAGGTTGACGTAAGAGGACACATGTTAGTCGCATGAAACCTGTAACCTTGTTACAGAGTGTTTTTTAGAGTTCTAAAAAATACCATGCAAAATAAGAGGACACAGGTTAGTCGCATGAAACCTGTAACCTTGTTACAGGCAACCGAAATGCCGGCCCCAAAACCTAGTCCATCAAGAACACATGCTGTAGCGCATAGCAGCTCAAAACGTCTAAACCCTAACTCTGAAACCCTAAACCCTGAAACCTGAAACCTAAAACCTCAAGCCTTCACCTGGTACAGACTGCAGAGTCAAGACCCTGAGAGCCACTCCCATGTCCTGCGGACTATCCGGTCTGAAGTCAAAGAGATAGCGCTGGGGGCATGGGAAAGGAGGGGGGCAACGGGGACCAAGAGGGGGGGGGGAGAGGGACAAGGGAAGTCAGAGGGGGGAAGAGGGGACAGCAGGGCGGACGGATGAGGAAACCAGGTGTGCGGATGCATGCAGGTGCGAAGGAGGGTTGGCGAGAGGCGAGTGCGGCCGGGAAAAGCGGGAGGAGTCTATTTTTTAGGCGCCTAAAAGATAGACTCCTCACGAGTGCAGCCGGAAAAAGCGGGACGAGAGCCAAGTGGATTGGTGGAAACGGAAATTGGAGGCAGCAGGGGGTAGGTGTCAGAAGAATGGGGAGAAAAGGGAGAGAGGAGCGGAAGTTGGGGCAGAGGAGGAGGGGGGGAGAGAGGGGAACGGGGGGGGGGGGGGAGAGAGATTGCGTGAAGAGAGGTGGGGGAAAGTGTTGGAAAAAGAGTGAATGAAAAGAGACCGGAGACGTCGGTTGCCTGTGTTTCGCGTGCAAAATTTAGCCCTTACTGATGCGGCTCAAAACTCTTAGGGGATGGGGATCAGAGGTCGAGGGTTCAAGGGTTGAAGGTTCAAGGGTTCAAGGGTTGAAGGTTCAAGGGTTGAGGGTTCAAAGAATCGCCCTTACTGACTGTGCTGCAGTTGTCGCATCATATGACCTCTCGCCCTGTCCTTTCCGCCCCTTCTCTCAGCTCCTGACTCATTTTTCCCACCTTACCCACACTTGCCTGTAGCCCCTCTGTCCCCCCTTAATAGCACAATTCCCCAGCTTTCACCCCCATTTTCAGCCATTTGCCCCCTTTCTCCGTTCCCCTCCCCCTCTATCTCCCTCTCTCCCCCCGCTCCCTCTTCCCCGTTCCCCCTTCTCCCCTTTTCACCCGCTTCAACCCTAAACCCATGATTACCATTCTCGAAAAGCAGATCTCACCTCTCCATTCTCCCCCGCTATAATCACCACCCAATGACTACACAGCACAGGAAACAGCCGCCCTGCCACGTCAGCAGCCCACTGCGGAGGTCCGGGCGGCGCGTCCAGCGGAATCGACGCCACGAAGACGCGATCCGGCTGCTGCGTTGATTGCGCTGACTGCGTTGACTTGGATGGTCGCTGCAGGTCTTCAGGCCGAAGATCAGGTGAATTCTCATACGGGCCATCAGGTGAATCCTCATATGGGCCATCAGGTGAATCCTCATCAGGTGAATCCTCATCAGGTGAATTTTCAGGCCATTCTCCAGCAGATTTCACCCATGTAGTTTTTCGTCGCACACCACGAGAGGAGCTCGATCTGTACAAGGCTGACTCAGCGGAAAACGACGAAAACGGAGTCGCGCAGGTAGCTAGCCGATTAATGGTAATTAGGTCATTCGTAGACCGACGAGCTGACTTCGAGCCGCCGGCGGTCGCATGTGCATCCGACGCATCGCTAATAAGGACGTCTATAGAGCCTTGCAATTGACTAAACCCGGAACCCTGGATGTCTCTAGAGCGTTGCAATTGGCTCGCTGCCGTCCGTGGAGCCGCATACCGAGAGGCTCGGTTTAATCGAGATTGGCGAATGAGCAAGCCCGGACGCGACGCTGATGTGGAAACTAGACTACGATACGTGACTGTAACGGGGTCGTTGGTGGCCGTGAGGCTACTACCGACGAATCGCATGCTTTGCCAGCTATTTCCCGCAGCCGAATTGTCAGTTTCTGCGGAACTGCAGCTAGGGGGCAAGGCGGGTAACTCCGCGCATGTGGCGGACTGGATGGGGAGGAAAGGGCGCATGGCGGTCATGGTGGTGGTGGAGGTGGAATGGGGAATGAGGGAATCAGGAAACGTTCTCGGTAAAAGCTAGTCCGTTGAGTAGTTCATGTGGGTATTTTTGCCAATGTTACCAAGCCTAGGTAATATTTGTCAGATGTACAAACCCCTTATGCGGCCATCCTTCAAAAGCACACCGGTGTAATGTCACGTCGACAGGACCAGAGGGGCTGATGACGAGACGAGACAATTTGTGGTGCGCGCGGCTCGCTTGGGGCAATTTTGGCCGCAAAGAAACTTGGGAAATTATACGCTGGGTAACTCTTACTCTTCGTTTCCCCGATTTAGTCACTCTTTTCTCATCCCAGTCTATGTTTCATCGAGTCGACATCAGCAGCGTCATACTTTTTGTTCAGTTAGATGTCGCATGGCAGAATCTTTCGACATGTGTCCCAGAAATGCGATGTCTCAAAACATCGACAGGTCCAAACTGAACAAAATGTTTGACGGTGCTGATTTCGACTCAATAAAAAATTGACTGGGATGAGAAAAGAGTGACTAAATCGGGGAAAGAGTAAGAGTTACCCAGCATATAATTTCCCAAGAAACTTGCTCGGTTGAGCTCAGGAAAGCGCGTTACAGAGACAAATTTGATTGCAGGATCTTTACGGGCTCTGCGCGAATCAAGGTCCCGTCGGACGTGGAAAGTGGCTCCACTCGTAGCCTCTGGCAAGAGGACCAGAGCTATCATAACTTTCTCGTCCATTGGTGAAACATCTCAGATCGTCTTCATAAGTTTGGACGACAACCGAAGTTTGAACAAGATAGCTGGTTTCTCAATCTGTGCACCTATCTACCCTGAAAACAACAGACCCAAGGTTTGTTTTCCCAGTTGACAATTTGCCGAGGCTCAGGTCTCCACCTAAACGTGCACTGTAACAGTGTGTTTCAGCAAGAAATTGGCTGAGTAGTCGAGTCTCTCTAAATTGCTTCGGTTTGGGTAGTGTACAATTATCCGACCTTTAATAACACGAGCATACCCTCTGTTTAGACTGTCATCCCGAGAAAAGGGAAATTTTCCGCTCTTGTCCAAACTTCGGTTGTCGTCCAAACTTCTGAAGGCGACCAGGCGCAGTCCACTCCACCAATTCGGCAGCCACAAATATTCTTGGAACTGCTTCACCCTGAATTCTGTGCGCGGAGCCAAATCTCCCACGGGACAGTTGACGACAAGACGACAGGGTTGCCCCCTTGCCCGTCGCCTGGCCAACAAAGTCCTTCAATTTGAGACCTTTTTGTCACTGCCGCATAGAATTTCCCCGCGTGAATCACCTCCATCGTGATGTGCTGCGCTGGCTGGTCCCCTTCAATTCAGTTGCGACAAGTGGGCCCAAAAAATCACGCCAATTTCGGCCTTACATTGAATTCGCTCCACATCAGCAAGGTGCTAGTTGGTCCTCTTTCGGACAAGCATTTTTTCCCGAATCCCGAGCGAAGCGCGCTTCGACTGGCTCAGCGCGCTTATCAAGTCCCTCCCGCTTTTCCCCTTCCCTCCTCACCTCAGCCACATCTTTCCGCTGTGGTTACTTTCGGGTTACCATCTTCACCTTCACACCCTCTCCACCTCGCCCCAACCTCCTCGGCTATTCCACTCCCTCTGTCTGTCTGCAGCATCCCCCTCCCCTCCTCCCCTCCCCTCCCTTCCCTTACCCTCCCCTCTCCTCCCCTCCCCTCCCCTCCACTTTCCTATCCCTGTCTCGAATCGCCTAATTTCTTTTCCTCTCCCGCGACTGTATGTGTCCTCCCTCCCTCCAGGAGAGCTCACTCGCACATCTGTCGCTTCCACGCATCTCTGCGCCACTCCGCTCCGCTCCCCTCCCTGCTTCCCCCTTGCGAGTTGCGTTGCGTTGCGTCGATTGAGCGGGCAAGGCGATGTCAAGAGAGCAATGAAAACTGTATTTGATCCACTACATATGCAGCCCCTTATCCTACAGATTCAGAGGCTCCATTTTCCGTCGACCCACTCTGGCAAGATCGGCTTGCCTCGTCGACTCTTCTCTCAGCGTACTTTCTGATTACGACTTCGCTTTCCGGACGACACGGTGTCGTCGAAGCGCGGAAATTCTGTTCGCCGAGCAATACTTCATTCATTGCGCGTTATCTCGTTTCTTTAGGGATTCCCTCTTCCCTAGGGTTATAATCGGGTTATTTATCAATGGCGAAGGCGATGTCGCGATGGGGCCTGGATAAGCTCCTTAGCTCGCGCGGCAGCGACAAGCTCGTGTCGCTGCTTCTTCCCGACGGAAGCATGGAGATGTTCGGCGGGGGAAAGACCGTCGCGGATATCATGGCGGAATACCCGGGCCACCACGTCGGCAGCATCACCTCCTCCCGCCCGTGCCTCGCGCCGCAAAAATCGCTCCACCCCGGCAGCACGTATTACCTCGAGCCTACTAAGCAGTCGCGGCTCGAAGGAGCTAAGTCCCTCCCTTCCAAGGATTTCAAGGGGTATCTTGACGGAGATCGCAATAATAACGGTCCGAGTCGTCACCAGCGTGCTCGCAAGGAGACGACGCGGGTCGATCAGAACGAAGACGACGACGACTTTTTGACGCAGAACCGACAGACGGCCGGGTTCATTCCGCGCCGCATGTCGCTCGACGCCGGCGCGCTTTTCAGCCGCCAAGCAAGCACCGACGCGGGCGCCGCCGCCGCCGCCGCGCTCGCTTCTTCCTCACGCCACCGTGACGTGTTCGACGCCACGTCGGACGACGACGAAGACGACGAGGAGATGATTTCCCCGTATCCGGGTGCCAACAGTGCTGCTTCGGGGCGATCGCGACGCGCGTCCGTCTCCGACGCGAGATCCGCCCGAGTCGCCGCCGCGTCGCTGGCCGAAGCGCGGCAGCTCTGGGAAGACGAGATGACGCGCCGTCAGGCCCATCCGGCGCGGCACGAGCGCCAAGATCCATTCGCCGATCGTCAGAGTGGCTACGACAGCGACCGTGGCTACTATGGAAACGAATCGTCTGGGATGGACTATGGCTACAACGCAGGCCCCGCCAACGGGCTTCAAAGCCCGCACCCGCAGTTCGAGCGCCAACCGTCTTGCTGCCGCTCCTGCGGCGGCTGCGGCGGGGACGGCGGAAGCATGCGCTCGTCGCGCGCCCCCTCCCCCTCGCCTCGGGCTCCCCCACTGGTCCGATCCGCTTCCGCCGCCGCCTTCCCCGACTTCGAAGGCGGGGATATCGCCCCCGGCGGCGACTACGCCGCGGTCTCCACGGAGTTCGCGATCGGCGGAAGGGTTGGGCCCCGCGCGGTTCACCGCAGCTCCAGCGCGCAAGAGCGAGCAGCGCGGTCCGCCTTCCCAGATTACGACGCTTCCGCCGCCGCCGCCGCGTGTGGGTTAGTCCCGTCCCCGTCGCCGCCGCCGCCGGGGCTGGCGCAGTGGCAGCAGCAGCAGCATGCCTTTTCGCGATCCGCCACTTACAGCCGCAACGATCCGCGCGGAAGCGCGGAAAATATTCCGCTCGATCCGCGGCCTGCGCACGCGCGCTTCCCCTCCGCGCCGTCGACGCCCGCGCGCCGAACGAGCCTGGATCATCGCGCGATGCGCGCGAGCCGTCCGGACCCTGCTGACGTGGCCACCGTCGTCGGATCGAGCCGCGGGAGCCTAGAGGTTCGGAGCCCCGTGTTCGCCGCGGTTGACTCGGACGGCGAGAGCCAATGGGATGACGGCGAGATTGCTGACGAGGACGGGAGCGTGAAGTCGGGTTACTCCCTGCCGTCGCCCCATGACGTGGCGGCGGCTAAGGAAAGGCGGCGGGAGCGGGAGAAGCGGGAATGGATGATGATGCAGCGACAAATGCAGCAGCAGCAGCAGCAGCACATGCAGCAGCAGCACATGCAGCAGCAGCACTTGCAGCAGCAGCAGCAGATGCAGCATTATCAGATGCAGCAGTTTCACCAGCAGCATTTCCAGCAGCAGGGGAGGCAGCAGATGGTTCACCAGCAACGGGCTTCCTCTCCCCGCCTCCACCAGCAGCACCACCTTCACCAGCAGCAGCAACAGCCACGTCTATCCCGCCGGACTGCCAACTCAGCATCCGGTCGCTCTGCCGGGCTTCCGCCTCGGGCGGTGTCGCCACTTCCTCCACTCCCGTCCAGCCATGTGTCGCCTCCAGCCTCAGGCGATTTTGTGTGCAGCCCTGGGGGAATGGGGGCCTCACATGATAGGAGTGAGACGATGAGGGATGGGGCTCTTATCAAGAGTGATTCTAGAAGCCGCTCGTTTACTTCGTTGGTTACCTGCAGCGAGGAATCCATGGCTGCACAGCAGATGTCTGGCATGTCCTCATGGGGTTCCTTCCCTAGCCTAGACTCCTTGTCCCCGGAAGGCTCCTCTCAGGCTACTGTGTCCCCTAGCCACCAGTTCTAATTCTGTTCATTTATGTGTGTATTATTGGTGTGGCATCATGTGTGAAGGTGACTGAATTCTGAAGGATTCAACTTTCATTATCAGTTTCCCTGGTACTGATTTCCAATAAAATGGCAGGCCGTGCATGCATGCAAACCAACCACAGCCCATTCAAAGCAGGGTAGTCTCACATGAATCTAGAGCCAATGCAGCAACTTAAAGCCCAACTAGAAACGACCCAGCAGTGAATATGTTTCTGGAGGGGCGGGCAGCAGCCCCTGTTTTTTAGCAAGCCGTAGGCCACGAAATCGAATTGCACTTGCGACATTTTGCACTGGCGACAAATTTTACGACCATAGATTTGCATGGTTAGCATTTCGATCAATCGAGGCCCAGCCTCAGTTTTGCTGGAGTAGTGAACCCGGGTCCAACTTGAAGTTCAAGTTGGGCCCGCTTGGTGCAGCTTACAGGCAGTGGGGGCTGGGTGACAGGTGGCGCGCTGCTTGCGATTTTGCCCGAGCCATTTTTCCCCACCGCACGTCATGTTTTCCCCGCCAATCAGGTAACTGCATCTTCTCGCCCAGTTTCCCCTGCTTGCATTTCTCGACAGTGTACCCTCTGCCCCTTCGCAAAAACGGATGTCTGGGCCTTTTCAAGTTGGAACCGCCTTCACTATTTTGATTTCTTGCTTTAAGAGGCATGAAATCGGGAGAAACTAATTTTGCATCTTAGACGATTGGTTAATCACTGTAGATATGTACAGCACTCGCTCGCAGCCTTGTTATGCGACTCAAAATTGATTCGCTTGATACGTTCCGCCAATCACAGCGCTCAAACTCGGATTTCATTCTCGCGATTGTCTCCTACGATTCGCTGCAAGCTTTCCGCATTTCCCTCGAGTACCGCAATTCGTTGCGCCGCACGCGCGGAAATTCGACCCCTAAGCGGAAAGCTCTAGGCTCTTGTTGGCCTAGCCTGGATGCTCCAGGTTTCTGTTATACCTAGACATTTTGCAGGCCATGGATGTCAGGCATACCTGAACCTAGAAGTCACCGTTTTCCGTGCAATTCTTCTTCCCCAGGGAGCTTCTCGGAACTCCGAGTCCTAAAATATTCGCTTCTAGGTCGAGGTTCGCATTAGTGTTTTTCTTTTTCTTTTTGACACCGAAAGTCATCCCTCGACCTGGTTGGTTCCCAACGAGTTTCCAGGATGTCTGCGACTCGGTTCTATGCCGGATCAGTTCTAGCTCGCTCCCCGTTACATCAGTCAAGAGATTCCGAGCTTAGGCAAACCAGTAAAGGCGGCAGCTGCCGGATTCATGGAGCCTCTCTGAAGAGCGCAGCGAGACGAACGCAGCGATTATGCCGACCAGTTTGTGCGATTCCTCCTTTGGCCGAAGCGCCAGCAGCCAATCCCGAAGCAGCGTTCGCTGATGTTGAGGATTTCACTAAGGCAGGCGGTTCTGACCTGCATTACGTCCAGAAGCAGGCTACCAAGGCGATGGAGGATCAGACGAGGATCTCCAGCAAGGTACTTGAATCAGGGAGTTTCTAATCTCTAGATGTCAAGAATCAGCATGGTGCTAGATGGCAGAGCCTATACCAAGACTGGCGGCTCTGACCTACATTACGTACGTCCAGAAGCATGCTACCACGACTATGGAGGATCAGGCAAAGTTTTCCGGCAAGGTACCTGAATCAGGGAGTTGATAAGCATTTAAACACTCTAAGTCACGAATCAAACTTCAGAGTAATGCACGAGGAATTCAAAATCAAGCATTTCATTTCATGCAAGGCAAGCGTCAGACTTCGAGATTCATTCAACGTTGATGATTTCTGGGGTGCGTTGATTTAGAGTGTAGTTATCTTTTTAACTGTGGCGAAACTCCGAGAACACGGGAACATCGTCCTTGATGTCGTATAAGTGCTTATTTCAGAAGAACATTCATACGATTCCGGCATTGGGCTGCCACGCTCTCAGTTTCATTTTGCTTCCGTTAAGCATTATTCTCCTCGGTTTCCTTCACACTTGTTCATTGGTCGCGCTATCTTTCTCTTGTACCCGTCTCTCTTCATGCTCAATTGCTCATCCCTCTCATCCAAACAGCTCCCCCCTCTAGACACCAAAGACTCGTCCGTATTGGATGTGCTGGTGGTCGGCTGTGGGCCTGCGGGGCTCTCTATCGCTGCGGAGTGCGCCAAGCGGGGACTCACAGTGGGCCTCGTTGGCAGAGACGCACCGTTCGTCAATAACTACGGCGTCTGGCTCGACGAGTTCAAAGGTAGGAGGTGGAATTTTTAGTCGAGTCAAAGGCCAAGCAGGGACTGACGGATGGTGGGGCTCGTTGGCAGAGATGCACCGTTCGTCAATAACTACGGCGTCTGGCTCGACGATGTATGATTCTCGATGTAGAAATGGTGTCTTCGAGTTTCACGTTTCACTGGCAAGGTTTGACTTCACCTTCAGACCCACAGGTGACTCATGCAGCAGCTGCTGTGCTGGACTGCTTTTGATTCGACTCAAAAGTATGGAGCAGCTGCTGTGCTGGACTGCTGCGACAACTACAACTGAGGTAGTCCCAGCAGCTACACCAACAACACATGCGGTATACGGATAAAGCCTACCCTTATTCTGCTGTGACAAGCCTATTTTATGCGGTTTGTGCCCCCTCGTTTTTCGCAATGTTCTCCCACTCTGTGCAGCCATTGGGTTGGACCACTGCATTGATCAAGTGTGGACCGACACCATCCTGTATACCGACTCCGATGCACCCATCACCACGGGGAGGGCCTATGGCAGAGTAGAGCGCTCACGGCTCCACAACGAGCTTGTCCTGAGGTCAGGGATTTCTTACAACGCGTACACATGGCTCCAGACCCCAAATTCCTGTCCAGCTTCAAGGTTTCCCCTGGTTGAGCTGCAGTGTGCTGCTGAGAGGAAAGATGCCGTTTTCTTGTGGTCTCAAAGCACGCACATCAGCTTCCACTTCTGTTTGAACGTTGAAAAATCCCTGAGACGTGTTCAAACGCGTGGTTTCTCAACAACCACTTTCCACCCTGTTCTTGAATGGTGCCCCACTCTGCCCCAGATGCGAGCAGGCGGGGGTGCGGTATGTGGAGCAGGAGGTAGAGAGCATCGACGACGAGTCGAAGAGGAGCACAGTGGTGTGCGCTGATGGCTCGCACATCAGCAGCAGGTGAGCTTTGAAGCGCCTCAGAACCACTCTGCTCCAGATGCCAGCGAGCCGGGGTGCGTGCAGTGTGTGGAGCAGGAGGTGGAGAGCATCGAGGACGAGGCGACGAGGAGCACAGTGATGTGCGCTGATGGCTCGTGCATCAACAGCAGGTGAGCTGGCACTACCTGCATCAACACGAGGTGAGCTGGCACTACCTGCATCAACAGCAGGTGAGCTGGCTCTACCTGCATCAACAGCAGGTGAACTGGCACCCTGGTGGCTCCTCAGCAGCAGAGCAGGTGAATTGGCACTACCAGCATGAGCAGCAGGTGACTTGGCACTACCAGCATGAGCAGCAGGTGACTTGGCACTACCGGCATGAGCAGCGGCATGTGATGTCTGGTCTGTCATTCTCCACAGCTCTTGTCTTCCATTCCTCCACTCTCCCATTTTGCTGTGCCACAGGCTTGTGGTGGTGGCGGCTGGAGCAGCATCGGGCAAGTTTCTAGAGTACGACAACGACACGAGAGGCGTGGGCGTGCAAACAGCATACGGGATTGAAGTGGAGGTGCGAAAATGCTCTTAGGTGGTTCAGTTTGCCATGTGCGGTGGAACTCAGGTGGAGGTACGGTGGGGGCAGCGTCCGGGAAGTTGTTCAGGGTGTTTTTGAGAGAAGTCTCAAAGGCACCCTGTAGCATCTGGGAAGCTCTTAGAGTACGACCATAACGCGAGAGGTATGGGTGTGCAAACATCATATGGGATCGAAGTGGAGGTAAGGGCGTGGTACATTTTGTTCGGTTCACTGGATTTGTTCGGGTTACTCTTCTCGTTAATGTCGCGAAAAAGCTTCGTTAACATGCCTTCGCGAATAGGTGACAGATTCAGAAATTTCAAAACCCGCACTCACGAACAATCTACGTTTGTATTTGTAAGAATCCAGACCGTATTTGTGACGCAGACGGAAGGAAACTGCATAATTGATGAAAGCGTCATTTCACGTGAGGCAGGAAGTGGGGTGTTTTCCCGCTGCTCGCGGCTGCGACATGTTGTATGTCGCAAAAACCCAAATTGGTGTCGCGAGGTTCGTGTCGTACCGTAACTTATGTTTGCAAATTCGAACACGCGATTGTGAACCTTCACGAAGCTTGCGAAAGCTGAGTTCGCCCTAAAAGTTTGAGTTTTTTTCCAAAATCTGAAAAAAGTACCACGCGGCACGCCCTAAGGGGTTCACATTTAGTTTGGAGACCAGAATGGGGGTATAGGATAATAGGGTTCGAATTGTTATTACAGGCTTAGAGTTGAGTTATGGGTGTGATGTTAAGATCCTACTTTTGTGTTGCTTGTTAACCCCCCCCCCCCCCGCAGCTGGACTCAGCCTTCCCCTACGACCCAACCAGCCTGCTGATCATCATGGAAGGCTGGGGCCTCACACGCATCAGGGAGGAGAAAGAGGCAGCTGAGGAGGATTCTTCTTTTATTTTTGGTACTTCCCCCCTCTCATGCCACTCTTCACACTCCTCCTCCCCCTTGCAGCTGGATTCACCGTACCCCTACAAACAACCCAGCCAGCATGTTCTTCATCATGGATGGACTACCAGGACCTGGCACACACCAGGGAGGTACCGACCGACACTGCTCAACACACGTGCCAATCCTCCCCCACCTCCCCTCCCCCCCCCCCCCCCCCCCCCCCCCTTGCAGCTGGACTCGGCCTACCCGTACAACCCAGCCAGCATGCTCTTCATGGACTACCGGGACTTGAAACGGACCAAGAAGGAGGAGGCAGCTGAGGGGGAGCTCTCCCAGCGGCCCAGCTTCCTCTACGCCATGCCTACCACCCCCACACGGGTGTTCTTCCAGGTGGGTTCTCCCAGGTGCTTGCAACAAAATTCAGATGTTTTTTTTTTAAAAGCTGGTTCTTATCTAATGTCATGAGGAGCAGGCAGCTAGGGAGGGCTTTCTCAGCGACCGAGCCTTCTCTACGCCATGCCTTCCCCCCCCCCCCCCCACACGGGCGTTCTTCCAGTTAAGGCTATCTGATCACATGTTCTCTCTAGTTCAGGTGAGCAATCAGCCAAAGGGGGGCTTTCCCCAGCGGTGGCGCCTGGCGTCCCGCCCGGCAATGCCGTTTGCAATGCCATTTGACATGCTCAGCTCAACCAGCCAGCCAGCCAGCCAGCACCGCTCTCCCTCATCCACGACCTTAGCGCATCCGTTTTCTGCCTCTCCCTACACCTTACTCCCTCCCTTGTGCCAGGAGACGCTTTTGAGTTGACTCAAAAGCAGCGCCACTCTCCCCCATCCACGTCCTTATTATCGCATCCGTTTCCTGCCTCTCTCTCACCTCACTCCCTCCCTTGTCCCAGGAGACCTGCCTGGCGTCGCGCCCAGCCATGCCGTTTTCCATGCTCCAGAAGCGCCTGGACGCCCGGCTAGCGCAGCTGGGAGTGAAATACAGCGTGGTGCACGAGGAGGTGAGCATGTAGACCCAAGGAGGTGTGGCTGTGTAACGGGTGGTAGGTCTTGTGGCACTGCACTGTGTGCTCGAGCAGCGCCTGAGCGCCCGGCTATCGCAGCTGGGAGTGAAATTCAGCGTGGTGCATGAGGAGGTGAGCATATCAACACAAGGCGGTGAGGCTGTGTAATGGGTGCGCCTTGTGGCACGGCACTGGCACTGCTATATGTGCTCGAGCAGCACCTGAACGCCCGGGTGGCACAGCTGGGAGTCAAATACAGCGTGGTGCATGAGGAGGTGAGCATATCAACACAAGGCGGTGAGGCTGTGTAATGGGTGCGCCTTGTGGCACAGCACTGGCACTGCTATATGTGCTCGAGCAGCACCTGAACGCCCGGGTGGCACAGCTGGGAGTCAAATACAGCGTGGTGCATGAGGAGGTGAGCATATCAACACAAGGCGGTGAGGCTGTGTAATGGGTGCGCCTTGTGGCACGGCACTGGCACTGCTATATGTGCTCGAGCAGCACCTGAACGCCCGGGTGGCACGGCTGGGAGTCAAATACAGCGTGGTGCATGAGGAGGTGAGTATATTTGAGGAGGTGGCCCTGTGTAACCCTTTTTAAAGCACCCAGCCAATGCTGTTCGTCATGCTCGAGATGCTTGCGTGCCGCATGGGCCCAGGTGGAAGTCAGATGAGACGAGAGCCATTTCCCCTCTCTGCTACCTTGCTCCACCTCCTCTCCGCATTTACCCCCCCTCCAAGCCCTTCTATTCTTCCTTTTAAGTTCTCTCTTCCCATTTCTCCCTTTTCCACCCTCCCCTTCTCCCCCCCCCCCCCCCCCCCTTTCGTTTCTCTCCTGCTGTACCTGTTTCCCTCCCAGGAATGGTCCTACATCCCTGTGGGAGGATCCCTCCCTCTCACCACTCAACAGCACCTCGGCTTCGGTGCTGCTGCTTCCATGATTCATCCGGCTACAGGTATGAGATCCCCTTCGTTTTGATACATCTCGAAACGACAATACTATCACTCGCTGCTGTTGCTGTTGCTGCTGCATCCCGGCTTTGGCGCTGCTGCTGCTTCCATGATCCATCCAGCAGCTACAGGTATGCGGTTCCCTGCAGCTTCGTTTTGAGAGTTTCGTTTTGAGACACCTCAAAACGAAATTATTATCACACGCTGCTGCTTCCACAATTCATCCCAGCTACAGGTATGGCACTGTGGCATTCCCTGCAGTTGTTGTTACTCCACCCACCCCGCTTCAGTGGGCAGGGCCTGGCGGCGGCCCCGATTCTTGCCCCCCTCCCCCTCCCCCTTGCTACATGTTATTTCGCCACTGATCCGTCTCCTCTCCTCTTCAGGCTACTCCTTCACCCGGTCTCTCAATGAAGCCCCTCCTACGCCGCTGCCCTGGCTTCTGCTCTGGCTGCTGCTCTGGTTTGACTTTTGAGTCGTCTCAAAAGTCACCTCGTTAAAAGTCACCTTCTGAGCCGACTCAAAAGTCACCTCGTTAAATGTCACCTTCCCCCCTAACAGGCTACTCCATCACCCGCTCCCTTACTGAAGCCCGCCTCCCTCTACGCCGCTGCTGTTGCTCCTCTGCACTTCACTTTTTCCCCCCATTCCCTCCTCACCTTTTTGGCCTCTTACCCCCCCCCTTCAGACTACTCCATCACCCGCTTCCTCACCGAAGCCCCTCAGTATGCCGCTGCCCTCGCTGCTGCTCTTTGCTCTCCCAGCCAACACTATGCAAAATGGCTGTTCCCATGCTTACTCCTCCTCTCCCCCCCTGCAGGCTACTCCATCACCCGCTCCCTCACTGGAGCCCCTCACTATGCTGCTGCCCTGGCCGCTGCTCTGCACTAATGATCCGGTGCACTCTACCCATCTGCTCTCTCCCTTCCCCTCCTGTTTCTCACTACCTCATCCCCTTCAGGCTACTCCATCACCCGCTCCCTCACTGAAGCCCCTCACTATGCCACTGCCCTTGCCGCTGCTCTGCGCTCTCCCAGCCGAACGTCACCAGAAGCTGCTGCTCTAGGTGCGCTGGCTGTGGGGCTGTATCATGCATTTTTTAGGCGCCTCACAAGCTGTATCATGCATTCTTTAGGCGCCTCAAAAGCTGTATCATGCATTTTTTAGGCGCCTCAAAAGTCGATTTTTTAGGCGCCTCAAAAGACGATTTTTGAGGCGCCTCAAAAGCTGTATCATGCATTTTTACGTACTGAGGTGCGCCATAGCACTCTCCCTCCCAGCCGACGTCAGCAGAAGCCACTGCTCTACGTGCGCTGGCTGGCTGTGGTATAGGGACGACCTGCTTCTTTCGGTGACTGACAGCTGGCAGGTGTCAGGTGACGAGCAACAACATTGTACTTCTCTGTGTCTCCTTTTTTTCGAGTCCCTCTCTTCACCCCTCTTGTAACCCCTGAACCCATGAGCCCATGAGCCCATGAGCCCATGAGCCCATGAACCCATGAGCCCATGAACCCATGAACCCATGAGCCCATGAGCCCATGAGCCCATGAGGCCATGAACCCATGAACCCATGAACCCATGAGCCCATGAGCCCATGAGCCCATGAACCCATGAATCCATGAACCCATGAACCCATGAACCCATGAACCCATGAGCCCATGAGCCCATGAGCCCATGAACCCATGAACCCATGAACCCATGAGCCCATGAGCCCATGAGCCCATGAACCCATGAGCCCATGAACCCATGAGCCCATGAACCCATGAACCCATGAACCCATGAGCCCATGAGCCCATGAGCCCATGAGCCCATGAGCCCATGAGCCCATGAGCCCATGAGCCCATGAGCCCATGAGCCCATGAACCCATGAACCCATGAACCCATGACCCCATGACCCCATGAGCCCATGAACCCATGAACCCATGAACCCATGAACCCATGAGCCCATGAGCCCATGAGCCCATGAACCCATGAACCCATGAGCCCATGAGCCCATGAGCCCATGAACCCATGAACCCATGAACCCATGACCCCATGAGCCCATGAGCCCATGAACCCATGAACCCATGAACCCATGAACCCATGAGCCCATGAGCCCATGAGCCCATGAACCCATGAACCCATGAACCCATGAGCCCATGAGCCCATGAGCCCATGAACCCATCAGCCCATCAGCCCATGAACCCATGAGCCCATGAACCCATGAGCCCATGAGCCCATGAACCCATGAACCCATGAGCCCATGAACCCATCAGCCCATCAGCCCATGAACCCATGCACCCATGAACCCATGAACCCATGAACCCATGAGCCCATGAGCCCATGAGCCCATGAACCCATGAACCCATGAACCCATGAACCCATGAACCCATGAACCCATGAACCCATGAGCCCATGAACCCATGAGCCCATGAGCCCATGAACCCATGAACCCATGAACCCATGAACCCATGAACCCATGAGCCCATGAGCCCATGAACCCATGAACCCATGAACCCATGAGCCCATGAGCCCATGAGCCCATGAACCCATCAGCCCATCAGCCCATGAACCCATGCACCCATGAACCCATGAACCCATGAACCCATGAGCCCATGAGCCCATGAGCCCATGAACCCATGAACCCATGAACCCATGAACCCATGAACCCATGAACCCATGAACCCATGAACCCATGAGCCCATGAACCCATGAGCCCATGAGCCCATGAACCCATGAACCCATGAACCCATGAACCCATGAACCCATGAGCCCATGAGCCCATGAGCCCATGAGCCCATGAAGCCATCAGCCCATCAGCCCATGAACCCATGAACCCATGAACCCATGAACCCATGAGCCCATGAGCCCATGAACCCATGAGCCCATGAGCCCATGAGCCCATGAACCCATGAACCCATGAACCCATGAGCCCATGAGCCCATGAACCCATGAACCCATGAGCCCATGAGCCCATGAACTCATGAACCCATGAACCCATGAGCCCATGAGCCCATGAACCCATGAACCCATGAGCCCATGAACCCATGAACCCATCAGCCCATGAACCCATGAACCCATGCACCCATGAACCCATGAACCCATGAGCCCATGAGCCCATGAGCCCATGAACCCATGAGCCCATGAGCCCATGAGCCCATGAACCCATCAGCCCATCAGCCCATGAACCCATGAGCCCATGAACCCACGGCCCTCTTATGCTACTGCTATCGTAGCATGGGACCACCTGTGGTCGCAGGAGCGCAAGCGGCAGCAGTCCTTCATGATCTTTGGGCCCCAGCTCATCCTTTACCCCTTCCGCTCTCCTCCCTTTTTGCATGTAACCCATTGACCTACCCTGCCCTGCCCTGTGCCTTCTTCTCCCAGCGTGGGACCACCTGTGGTCGCAGGAGCGCAAGCGGCAGCAGTCCTTCATGATCTTTGGGCCCCAGCTCATCCTTTACCCCTTCCGCTCTCCTCCCTTTTTGCATGTAACCCATTGACCTACCCTGCCCTGCCCTGTGCCTTCTTCTCCCAGCGTGGGACCACCTGTGGTCGCAGGAGCGCAAGCGGCAGCAGTCCTTCATGATCTTTGGCCTCGAGCTCATCCTGCAGCTGGACACGCCAGCCACCAGGGATTTCTTCAACGCGTTCTTCAAGCTCCCTCCCAGGTGGGTCTTCTGAGCCATCCTGTAAACCAAGGTGACTTCTGAGTCAACTCAATGCTCGTCTTGCAGCTGGACACGCTCGCCACCCGAGACATCTTCAACTCTTTCTTCAAGCTCCCTCCCAGGTGGGCTCTGAGCAATCCCATCCCGTAAATCAAGGTGACTTTTGAGTTGAATCAATGCTCGTCCTGCAGCTCGACATGCCAGCCGCGCCACCAGGGACTTCGTTAACACCTCCTTCAAGCTCCCTCCCCAGGTGGGCAAATGTCCGTCTTGCAGGTGAGCTTCTGGATGCCCATCTGTTCTCCCTAAACCCTTGTACCCCACTCCTCTCGTCCCCCCTCAGGCTATGGCGTGGCGTCCTGGCATCCAACCTCTCCTCCCTCGACCTCCTCCTCTTTGCCCCCGCCACCTTCCTCACGCCATCCAGCCCTCTCTTGTCTCTTTTGTCCTTCTACACCCATCACTTCCACCCCTCCCACCCCTCTCCCCCTCTCTTCCACCCCTCAGGCTATGGCGTGGCTTCCTGGAGTATAACCTCTCCTCTCTTGACCTCCTCCTCTTTGCCATCTCCACCTTTCCAATCGCCTCCAACCCTCTCCTGTCCCTCTACTCCTCCCTCAACTCGCCCTCTCTCGCCCTCCCTGTCTCCCCTCCCCGTCTCCACCCCCCAGGCTGTGGTGTAGGCTCCTGGATTCCGGCCTCTCATGTCTTTCTTCCCTTGTCCTCTCTCCGCCCCTCTCTCCCCCTCTCCACCCCTCTCCACCCCTTCTCTAACCCTCAGGCTATGGCGTGGCTTCCTGGCGTCCAACCTCTCCTCCCTCGATCTCCTCCTCTTTGCCTTCTCCACCTTCCTGGTAGCTTCCAACCCTCTGCGCTTCCGCCTCATCCGCCACCTCATCGTCGATCCCAGTGGGGCCAATCTCATTCGCACCTATGCTGGAATCAAGAACCCACCTGCTGGTGATCAAGAGAAAAGCACTTGATTCCTAAGGTGTATGAGGTAGTGGGGCACACCTCATCTTACACGTACGCTGGAATCAAGAACGGAGCATTTGATTTCAGAAGTGCCAGTGGCAGTGGTCCAACCTCATTTGCACATACGCTGGTGATGATCAAGAGGATACGGTAGCACTTGAATCCAGCTAGTGCCTGTCGGAGACACCTGATGGAGCAACCAAACACTGTTCAGTGCAAATATCGGTACATTGGAAATACCGTAGGAGCCCACCCAATGGTATCCCATAATCCTACCGTGGCGATTGTCAGGAATCTGGATTTGGGACCGGCTGAGTAGTCTTGTTTGATTGTGGGCAACAAAACTCTTCAGGGAAGTTTGTTTCGTTAGAATATAGTATGGTTTGTGGTGATGGATGGGCCGTTGTTGTACCAACACTTGACAAAGTATGGGTGGGAGATTACTGATGTGGGGGATTGTATCAGAAAATTGAATGATTGTGATAGAGGGAGAGTACACACAATATAGCTAAGTGTTGTACCCTCTAAGAGGCTACCCTATACAGTCTATACAAACATAACAAATAGACATGTTTGACACACCCCCTAGACTGCATAGGGGAAAGTCCTAAACAAACAGCTCAGGGCGGCACTACTAGTCCAACCTCTGAGACAAGGGTCTGAGCGACCAGTCTGAAGGAGTACAGACAAGGCAAGCAAAGAGCAGGGCGGCACTACTAGTCCAGCCACTGGGAGAGGACACAAGTCCAGTCTGAGTATACATATAAAGGACAGTACAAAGTCAAGGTCCTAGCAAGTGAGAGGCTACAGGAACTAGACCAAGCTGTACACAGTGCCGCTGATGATCTTTAGGCGCAAGCACCTTCGTAAAGATATCAGCCGTGTTGGCACCTGAGGCCAAGTGTACTACGCGAGCCTGACGTCGCTGCTGTAGCTCACGCAGGAGGAAGTACCGCAGCTGAATGTGCTTCGCTCTGCCCTCGAGTCGAGGCTCCTGACACAGGAGGATCATGGCCCTGTTGTCAGCGAACAGGACCGGGGCAGAGCTAGGTCGCTCACCTAAGTCAGTGAGCAAGAAGGTCAGCCAGCGGAGCTCCTGTGCCGCCATGGCACCGGCGTAGATCTCAGCCTCACAGCTGGACTGTGCAACAGACGAGGAGCGAGTAGCTCTCCACGAGACGGCACCTGAGCCAAGGCTGAAGCAGTAGCCCTGGGTAGACCGGAGTGTCTCAGCATCGTCTGCCCACGAAGCGTCTGTGTGCCCAGTAAGGACCGCTGGCCTGCGTCCTCCTAGCACTAACCCCATGCCCGATGTACTAGCAAGATAACGCAGAACCCTCTTAGCGGCAGACCAGTGCTGCGGTCGGTGTCTGCCTGTGGCCACAAAGCGAGCCAGGATGCTGAGAGGGTATGCGAGATCTGGGCGAGTGCAAGTCATCAGGTACATGAGGCAACCCACCAGCTCTGCGTAGGGGCTGCTGGGCTCTACCAACTCCTCAGGCACTGGAGCGGAGAGCCTGTGGTCTACAGGCAGAGGGGTGGGCTATGCAGAGGAGAACTGAAGGCTGAACCTCTGAAGGACCTGGCGCACCAAGTGTGACTGAGTCAGGGTGATGGTGCGCGCAGCTCTGTCCCTGGAGATCTGCAAGCCAAGGTAACGGCGCAGTTATCCAAGGTCAGTGCAGGTGTGTCTCTTCAGCAGCTCTGCCTTCACGGAGGCCAGCGCGTCCCTGTCTGCTGTGGCAAAGACCAGGTCGTCGACGTAGACGAGGATGTAGAACGGAGTCTGGCCAGCACGAACGAAGAGTGAAGGGTCTGCAGAAGACGGAAAGTACTGCAGGTCAGCAAGCGTAGCACGCAGAGTGTCGTGCCACTCACGGGGAGCCTGGCGCAGGCCGTAGACGGGGCGCCGCAGGAGCCACTGGGTCCCAGGAGGGAAGGTGCCAGTAAAGCCCGGAGGGCGGCGCAGGTAGACCTGCTCGTGTAGGCTGCCCTGAAGGAAGGCAGTGGAGAAGTCGAGAGAGTGAAGCTCGTAGTCACGCTGAGCAGCTAGGTGTAACAGAACCCGAAGAGTAGTCATCTTCGGGGTCGGAGCGAAAGTCTGGAAGAAGTCCACCCCCTCGCGCTGACTGAAGCCTCTAGCCACATAGCGCGCCTTGAAGACAGGCGGCTCTCCAGGAGGGCGCTTCACCTTGAAGAGCCAGCGGCCATCGACTACGTTCACCCCAGGTGGGGGAACTGCGTCGACGAAGGTGCCGGTGGATCTCCAAGATGCCATCTCCTGCTCCATGGCAGCTATCCACTGCGAGGCCCAGGGTCCCGAAGTCGCCTCAGCGTAAGTGCGAGGGGTCGGGATGTCGAAAGCGTCTGGGTCACCCTCAGGGACTAGCAGCATGGAACAGAGATGGGGAGCAGCCTCGGAGAGGAAAGCAAGCTCGAACTGGCGGTCCTCCAGGACGTCACTGCCAAGGGCAGGAGCACCCCCGACAGACGGAGGACAGGCAGGGTCAGAGACCAGAGCGGTGGCGTAGTCAAGGCGGCGGGTAGAGGCGAAGTCAGCGACAGCAGCGACAAGAGCGTCAAGGCACGAGACCGGAACAGACGGGTCGGTAACGAGAGAGGCAAGGACCCGAGGAACGAGGGGACGAGCGGCACGAAGGTAGTCGGACAGCGGGGGGGGCGCAACAACAAGGGAGGACGGAGGAGGCGACGGCAAAAGGGGAGGACGAGACGCGTGTGAACGAAGCAACATAGGGTGGGAGCGCAGGACAGGCGAGGCAGGACGAGCACGGGAGGGACGGTGAGACCAGACGTGCGATGGAGGAGTCGGGTCAGGAGACAGGGGAGGGGACACAGGAGGTGAACGAGGGGGGAGACGGGCCGGGGACGAGTCCGGCGGAGGGAAAACAGGGCCGTAGACAGGAAGAGGAGGAGACGGTCGGGGAGGAACCGACGCAGGGTCGGGGGACGGAAGGCCGAGCAGGCGAAGGGCGGACACCGGCGGGGACTGCTGCTGTGGCGGCACAACGGCGACACCGGGACCGCAAGCTGCTCCTCGGCTACCACCGGCACGCTCCACACCCGCACCCCCAGAGGGACCACCCTCAGGGCGACCGGGACGAGCACCCCCAGAGTCAGCGAACGGGGGCTACGACTGCGGCGGCGGCGGCGACGGCGACGGCTGCAGTGGCGGCAGGGACGGCGGAGGAGGGGACTGGGGAGGGGACACCTGGGGAGGGGCGGCCGGCGAGGACTGCACCGGAGGGCCACCAGAGTCAGAAGACTCCTCAACCGGGTCCACGGACGGAAGGGGGGTGACATGGGAGACACCAGAGGTGGCGGGACGGGGAGGAGGAGGAGGAGGGGCAGGAACTACCGGGGAAGGGGTGACCAGGAACAGGGGGGGGTAACCGGGGGACCACGGTGGGGGAAGCGGCGGTAGTAGGAGACGGACTCGTCAAAGGTGACGTCACGAGAGTGAAAGAAGCGGTGAGACGGCGGGTGGTAAAAGTGCCAGTCGGACGCGTCAAGGGGAAAACCGAGGAAGACGCAGGGAAGGGTGCGGGCAGTGAGCTTGTCCGTGCCGGAGGCACGGACGTGAGCAAGGCAGCCCCAGACGTGGAACGCAGACGCGTCACCAGGAGACCCAGTCCACAGACGGGTCGGCGAAACCTGCGGCTGCTGAGGGTGCGGCCACAGGTTAAGCTGGTGAGAAGCGTAGCGCACAGCGAACGGCCACAGAAAATGGGGTGCACCGGCATGGACCATGGAGGTGCGAGCGACCTCCATGACCAAGCCGATGCGTCGCTCAGCGATCCCATTCTGCTGTGGGGAGTCCGGTAGGGTGAACGTCTGGGTGATGCCCTCCGCACGACAAAAGCGACCAAGGACACCTGAGGCAAACTCGCCACCACGGTCTGAGTGAAGACGCAAGACAGGGAGACCGCGGTGGACACGCGCAGAGACAAGCCAGGGGATGAGGGCGCCAGGCACGTCGGCCTTGCGCTCCAGGGGAAAGACTGTGGTGTAACGAGTGAAGTCGTCGACAAGCACAAGGAAGTATCGCTCGCGACGCGGCCCAAGGACGGGGGCGGGGCCCCAGACGTCCAGGTGCAGGGTCTGCAGCGGCGCGACGGTAGGGGGGAACGAGGAGGAGTGAGGGGCACGGCGAAGCCGACCCTCGACACAAGGCGTGCAAGGTGGAGCTGGGGAGGAGGGAAACGCGGGGAGTGAACCTGGGAGACCAAGGACAAGACCGTGCTGGGACATGTGACGCAGACGCGGGAGCGCAGGGTGACCTAGGCGGTGGTGCCACAGGAGGGTCGGGTGAGTGAGGGAGCGACAGGAGCAGGCAGCAGCAACCTGGGTAGACACAGCCACCTGAGGGGGCGCTCCAGCCGGGGGGGGCACGGTGTCCAGAGTGAACAGGCCGGACACCGGGTCCCGGGGGAACGTGGACAGGGGGGCACCCGTGGCGGCCTCGGTACAGACAGCATACCGCTCGTGACCAGGGAACGTAGTGGTGACGCCAAGGTCCTGGAGGCAGCCGACACCAACTAGGTTCCTGGAGAACGAGGGGATATGCAGACCTGTAAGAGAGCCCGAAGGAACCGCCGGACAGGGAAGGGTGGTGGAACTGCGGGCGACTACCGGACCGCCGGAGGGGTCAGCAAGAGAAACGGCAGCAGGAACAGGAAGCGGCGTCAGGGTGGTGGAGTCGCGGAAGAAACACCGAGAGGCGCCAGAGTCCAAGGTGAAGGAAAGCGAAGCCGAGGGGTCTGGCGACGGAACGACGGCAGAAGCACCAAGACTACACAAAGCAGGGGATCCTACGCCTGACGCAGCAGGGGGGGCTAAGCTAGGCACACCTACACTAGGCAACAGTGAGTAATAAGTCGGAAGCACACTAGAGTCATCACCATACATCACATGCAGAGCAGAAACAATGGCATCCATGTCCATATCAAAGATCTGAATCTGACGACTAAGCAAACTGTGCCAGTCCGGGAGGTCTGGCGACGGGCCGAAACGCTGACGAAAGAGGTCGTCCAGGCGACGAAAGCAGCGGGGAGTGGAGTGACCGATCTTACCGCAAACGAAACCGCGGCGAGGACCGGTCTGGATCTGGTACTGACAACGCCCGCCGGAGGAGCCACCTCGCGGCACACCACCACGCGCCCGTCCACCGCCAGCGCCGGGCCACCCTGGCGGGAGAACACTCGTCTGCCGCGTCTGCGACGGCTGCTGCGGCTGCTGCGAAGGCTGCGACTGCGGCGGCTGCTGCGGCTGCTGCAACTGCAGGGGCGGCGACTCAGCTGGACTGGGCAGGGTCCCCTCGTCCGCTCCAGCACCAGGCGACCCGACCCCACCACTACCCCCGCCCGCACCCCCGCCGCCCCCTCCGCCGCACCCAGCCTTGGGGCGGCGGCCCTTCCCCGAACGGGCCTGCGCTGCAGCAGCAGTCTCAGCCACTGCGGCAGAGCCGTCGGAGAAGGTACACTGAGCAGGGGCACAACCCTGAAAGATAGGGACCGGCACGACACCGCTCGCCTGGGCGATGGAGCGGTGACGGGTCTCTATCACAGTCAGGGTGTCAACAAAGTCAGTGAGGGTGAGGTCTGCGGGGTGAACACTAAGGAAGCGGTCGCGGGCGACAGCAAGGCGGTCAGGGAGGCGGGTGGCAAGCAGGTAGAGGGTAGAGGTAATGGGCGGCTGGTGGGCTCTAAGCTGTGCGTCAGTGCAGGCGGCGCGCCCTGTCTCCTCTATCGAGCGCAGGTGGGCAGCGAGGTCAGAGACAGTGGGGAACGAAGCAAGGTCAGAAAAGAGCAGCGGGAGGATCAGGCGACCCACCGAGGCAGCCGGAGGGGTGGAATAGCGCTTGATGACAGCATCTAAGTATGCCTGAGCTGTAGTGAGGGACCTAAAGCGAGGACGCTCGGACGGGGGGAGGGCGTTGCTAATGGCAAGCTGGGCGACAGCATCGCGAGAAAGCCAGACAGAGCGCGCACGGGCAGTGGCAGCAGTAGACTCACGCTCAGTGGGTGTGGGGTCAGCGGGCAGAATAGCAGGAGGGTCTGGGCAGGGGAGCGTACCGTCAAGGTGTGCGGAAAGCGGTTCACCATCCTGCCGCTGGCCAGTGAGTTGGCGGCGGAGGTCGGCAAGCCACGCCTCGAACTCTAGGGGCTGACCTTCAGCGTCGAAGCGAAGCTCCGCCGCCATCAGGAACAGTCCAGTGCTGTGCAGGGCGGTGCAGTGCGGTGCAGTGCGATACAGTGCGGTGCAGTGCGGTACTGTGCGGTACAGTGCGGTGCAGTGCGGTGCAGTGCGGTGCAGTGCGGTACAGTGCGGTGCAGTGCGGTGCAGTGCGGTGCAGGGCGGCACGGAGCAGGGCGGGGTGGGGGGGGGGGGGGGGGGGGGGGGGGGGGGGGGGAACCGTACCAGTGAGGAGGACGGGGCCGGGGCTGGCCCGACGGGGCCGGGCGGGCGTGACGGGGCCGGGCTGATGCGACAGGGCCGGGACAGGGCGACGGGGCCGAGCGGGCGCGACGGGGCCGGGCTGGGGCGACGGGGCCGTGCGAGTGCGGCAGGGCCGGCTCGGTGCGACGGGGCCGGGCGAGCGGGACGGCGGCCGGGCGGGTGCGACGGGGCCGGGCGGCTGCGACGGGGCCGGGCGAGCGCGACGGGCCGGGCAGGGTGCGACTGCGCCGGGCGGGCGCGACGGGGCCGGGCGGCAGCGACGGCGCCGGGCGGGCGCGACGGGGCCGGGCGGCGGCGACGGCGCCGGGCGGGCACGACGGGGCCAGGCGGCGGCGACGGGTACGACGCGGCCCAGGAGGGGCGCTACGGGGCCCAGGAGGGGCACGACGGGGGGCCCAGGAGAGGCGCGACGAGGCCCAGGAGGGGCGCTACGGGGCTTGGGAGGGGCGCGACGGGGCCTGGGAGGGGCGCGACGGGGCCCAGGAGGGGCGCTACAGGGCCCAAGGAGGGCGCGACAGGGCCCAGGAGGGGCGCTACGGGGCCCAGGAGGGGCGCAACGGGGCCCAGGAGGGGCGCTACGGAGCCCAGGAGGGGCGCGACAGAGCCCAGGAGGGGCGCTACGGGGCCTGGAAGGAGCGCGACGGGGCCCAGGAGGGGCGCGACAGAGCCCAGGAGGGGCGCTACGAGGCCTGGGAGGAGCGCGACGGGGCCCAGGAGGGGCGCTAGGGGGCCTGGGAGGAGCGCGACGGGGCCTGGGAGGGGCGCGACGGGGCCTGGGAGGGCGTTACAGGGCCCAGGAGGGGCGCTACGAAGCCCAGGAGGGGCGCGACGAGGCCCAGGAGGGGCGCTACGGGGCCCAGGAGGGGCGCGACGGGGCGCTACGGGGCCTGGGAGGAGCGCGACGGGGCCCAGGAGGGGCGCTAGAGGGCCTGGGAGGGGCGCGACGGGGCCTGGGAGGGGCGCGACGAGGCCGGGGAGGGCGGTACAGGGCCCAGGAGGGGCGCTACGAGGCCTAGGAGGGGCGCTACGGGGCCTGGGAGGAGCGCGACGGGGCCCAGGAGGGGCGCGAGGGGGCATGAGCGGAAGCGGTAGGTGGGGGGGGGGATCCTACCTACGCGTGATACCATATCAGAAAATTGAATGATTGTGATAGAGGGAGAGTACACACAATATAGCTAAGTGTTGTACCCTCTAAGAGGCTACCCTATACAGTCTATACAAACATAACAAATAGACATGTTTGACAGATTGATCTACATTGTTTGAAGGAGTGAAACGCTACACCATTTTCAAGTAATACCACACACCATCACTAGGTTTGTATAACTCAGATCCTCTACACAATCTATAGATTGAGAAAGCTTGCTTTCTTGTCCTTTGCAAGGGGCATCGTTCTCATTTCAAGTGGCATGGTACAATAGTCGCTTACTAGCTTATAAGAATCTAAACATGCACACATCATGATCCTAGTTGTGCGCTCCCGTTCAAGTGACCGGCTGTCAATTGGAGATGGGCGATTGTCTAGAGGGGGGGGTGGGTGGGAAAGTTGACTGAGCCGTTTGAAAAATGAGAGACGTGGGTGGAGGTAAATGAGCTCCAACCCACGTATATGTAGTTGGAGAAGGGCGAGTAGCGCGCTTCGACGATGCCCAACGCTTCAGTACAATCAGCTTCGCTTTCACAATACACAATTTTTGAAAAACACTACGTGTGTTAAAAATTATAATATTGAGAAAGCTTGCTTTCTTGTCCTTGGCAATAGGCATCGTTCTCATTTCAAGTGGGGTCGTTGAGACATGTGCAGTGGGGGCTTGCGGTGGCGGAGAAGTGCCTCAGCGTGTTGTGCAGAGAATGGTGCCGCCGCCGGGTCTTGCAGGCGTCGAGACGCGCCAACCAGATGATTGGTCGCGGGCGTGACGTACATCTCTTTCGCGGTTTCACTACGCCAACGGCCCAGGCGTTTGAAGATCCTGTCAGGAACCCCGGAGTTGGCAGCAACCGTGGCCGCGCCTTTCCGAAAGGAGTGGGTGCCGAGGTGCTCTTCTCCCAGACCGATTTTCGCGAAGGCTTCCTTGCACCAGTTGCGGATTGTGGTGTATGAGGGCGGTCTGGCTATGCCGTGGCTCGGTAGGTGGGGTCCGAAGACCCGGATGAGCGGTCCCAAGGACTGGAGGCTGTATCCTGCGAATTGGATGAGCCTCTGGGTGCCCTGGACCGGACAAAAGGGTCCGGGGCTTGCCGCGATAGGGATCCATGTGCCTTGGCCGGCTTGGTCGGTTTTTGAGTGGGGGATGAGTAGCCACATCGCTTCATCTTTAAATTGGATGTCATGCCATTGGATGGCCACCAGGTCCGAGTAGCGCAAGAAACCGGCGTACATGAGAATCGGGATCAATCATTTTTGGAACACAGCTGGGTTAGTTGACTGTAGGAAGGAGGCTGCCATATTGTGGACCTGATGGAGTGAGACTGGCTCTTTAATCCTGTTAGGGCGCGGGCAGTGTCGCTTCGCGAAGTCGCGCACTTGGGAGGTGAAAGGGCCGGTGGTTGGGCAAGTTGAGCCTGTCATCCTGTGGGCAAAGCTTACGGCGGAACATGTGAGCTGAACCACCGACAAGGAGGCCTTGCGTTGGATGACATACACAAGGTAGAGCGCGAGGGTCATGTCCGATGCCGGCAAGAACGTTAGGTTGACCTTCGTGCAGAAGGCGCGGAACTTCACCCAGTCAGGCTCGTATGTTCGGATGGTCGAGTCGGCACGAGAGCGGGCGAGCATGGAAAGCAGATCATGTTGGAGCTTTGGAAGCAGATCTGGGGACATGCAAGGGAGTCTAGTTAGTCAAATATCACGCGGAGTGCGACGATAGTGCTGTTGGGTAATCCTGTGCCTGAGAATGCTTGACTATGTGTGCCGACTGAAAGACACTGGCTGCCGTGTATAAGAGGGATATGTGCTTGGATGTGTGGGTCCCACGATGGAGGGGAGGGCTGGAGGAGCGGCCACCAGCTTGCGCCAGGCCAGTGTGGGACTATGAGGGTGAGAGATGCGCTCGTGCATTATGCGTAATGGAGTACTGCGGGGATGAGTTGGGGCGATGGGAATGCAAAGCTGTTCTCAGCCATCCAGGCAAGTGAGAAGGCGTCGGCTGCTGTGGCATCGGGGTGGGGGACCTTAGAGCAGAAACGCGGCAGGTGTGCATTTTGGGGGTTGGCGAATAGGTCAATCGAGTGGGGCCCCCAGCGACTCTCGAGGAGGCAAACCATGGGAATTTCAACGAGTAGTCATCGTGGTCGACTAGCTTGGAGAGCTCGTCTGCGCGACCATTCAGATCGCGTGGGATCCATTCGATGATTAGCCGAATCTCGAACTCCATGCATTTTTGGATGATGCCTTTGCACGTGGTGGTGAGGTCGGGACTTCGGGAACTTCCTTTGCGAAGGATGAAGAACACGCCCTGGTTGTCCACCTGCACTAGCACGTGTTTCTTCCGGATTCTAGGCGCGTACGTCTGTAGCGCCCACAGCACGCCGGCAAGCTCTCTTTGTGTGCTGGAGGTTGGATGAAGGGCTCCGGGCATTGCCGCGCTGGCCTCTATCGCGGCTCCAGGGAATGTGTTCAGCGTAGCACCCCAGCTGTGGGCACTTGCGTCTACGTGGATGACTGCATCGTAGCTGTGCCGCACATGGAACGGGGCACCGTTGAAACGGTCGAACTCTTGGATCCAGAATCTCAGCTCTTCGATGGCGGGTGGGGAGAGGATGACCATGCTGGTCCATGTCGGCGCGTCGTTGATTGTTTCTAGCATGGCGTGGCTGAACGCTCGGGTGGTGGTGCCGAGTGCGACAGCCATCGATGCCAGCATGCCTGTAACTCGGGCCAGTTGCCGGACTGGGACTTTCCGCTGAGCTGAGCTTGCGCGCAGTAGGGCATGGAGGGTGGCGTTGAGTGTGGCTCGCCGCTCCTCGCCGATGGAGAACCGGCCGGCCTGTGTGTCAAGTTCTACGCCAAGGAACCGAAGGTGCTGTGTTGGTATCAGCTTTGACCTTTTTGAGTTGAGTACGAGCCCGGCAGCCTTGAGATCGATAACGATCCGTTGGCACGTGGCTTGAGCGTGTGCCTGGGTCGGGCACAGGAAGAGGATATCGTCCACGTAGGGTATCACGCGGACCCCCTGCTCCCGCCATCGCCGAGCTAATTGCTTGATGAGCTGCGTGAAGACGAATGGTGCTGTGGCGAGGCCGAACGGCAAGGATCGGAAGGCGTATGTGCACCCGTCGAATTCAAAGCCGAGGAACGTCCAGCACGAGGGATGGATGTCGACATGGTGATAGCCTGATTTCAAGTCGATGGAGAACATCCAATCTCCTTGGCGGGCGAGGTCCGCTACGCGGTTGAGTCCCTCATATTTAAATTTGGGGACGATTATTGCGTCGTTCACCTTTCGGAGATCCAGAATCAGGCGACACTTGTCTTTCTGCTCGACCACGTTGAGAGGGCTTATGCATCTCAGTTTCGCCGCAGGAATTTGGATGGCCGCGCCGGTCTCGGTGAGTTCAAGGATGGCCGTGCGCGTGAATGCTTCGTGGGTGCGTGCGCCGGCATGGTTGCGATCGTGAAAGGCCGGCGGCGGCCCGAGTTTCCATGGCATCCAGTATCCTTTGGCAATGACCGAGAGGATGAAACTGCTAGTGCACCACGAGTTCCACCAAGCGAACGTGGTACGTAGGCGGCCACGCATTTGGGTGACCATCTTGTCAGTAACCGCGTATTCGTAGGGGTCATTGTTGTGAGCGCATTCGCGAAGTCTGGTGCCAGCGTCATTGTCGGAGTCGTCGCTGTCGTTGTCGGCCGCCGGGGCAGGCGGGATGCTGGCGACGGCGTCTTTGGCGAGGCGTGGCGTCTTGGTTCCGCGTGTGGCCTTTTCTGTTTTTGCAGGTTCTTTTTTAGCAGATTCAGAAGCAGCAGGTTGAGCAGTTTCGGCGGCCGTAACACTCGTCGCCTGCTGCTGTAACAGCGTCAACAGCGCGTTGACCTGCGCAGGGGTCAACGACGGGGTCAATGTCGGGGTGGGCGGCACGTCAGATGAGGCAGCCGCGCGCCCCCTTTTGCGCTGGCGAGAAGGACCCGCCACTTGCGGGGCTGGCGCGTGCTGCTGCTCGGCGTCAGGCGCGAGTGGCTGGTGTCAAACATGTGTACTTGTCATGTTTGTATAGACTGTATAGGGTAGTCTCTTAGAGGGTACAACCCTGAGGTATATCCTTGTGTACTCTCTTTCTATCTAACACTCAACTCTCAATTCTGATATGGTATCACGCGTAGGTAGGATCCCTCCCCACCTACCGCTTCCGCTCACCCCTCTAGCCCCTAGCCCAGTCGCGACCCCCCTAGCCCCGTCGCGCCCCTCACTGGGCCCCGTCGCGCCCCTCCTGGGCTTCGTAGCGCCCCTCCTGGGCTTTGTAGCGCCCCTCCCAGGCCCCGTCGCGCCCCTCTCAGGCCCCCTAGCGCCCCTCCTGGGCCCCGTCGCGCTCCTCCCAGGCCCCATCGCGTCCTCCTTGGGCCCCGTCGCGCCCCCTCCTAGGCTTCGTAGCACCCCTCCTGGGCTTCGTAGCGCCCCTTCAGGCCCCGTCGCGCCCCTCCCAGGCCCCCTAGCGCCCCTTCTGGGCCCCGTCGCGCTCCTCCCAGGCCCCGTAGCGCCCCTCCTGGGCCCCGTAGCGCCCCTCCTGGGCCAAGTCGCGCCCCTCCCAGGCCCCGTCGCACCCCTCCTAGGCTCCGTAGCGCCCCTACTGGGCCCCGTCGCGCCCCTCCTGGGCCCTGTAGCGCCCCTCCTAGGCCCCGTCGCGCCCTCCCTGGGCCCTGTAGCGCCCCTCCTGGGCCCCGTCGCGCCCCTCCTGGGCTTCGTAGCGCCCCTCCTGGGCCCCGTCGCGCCCCTCCTGGGCCGTGTCGAACCCGCCTGCCGCCGTCGCACCCGCCCGGCCCCGTCGCGCCCGCCCGGCCCCGTCGCAGCCGCCTGGCCCTGTCGCACCCGCCCGGCTGCCGTCCCGCTCGCCCGACCCCGTCGCACCGGCCCGGCCCTGCCGCACTCGCCCAGCCCCGTCGCCCCAGCCCGGCCCCGTCGTGCCCGCTCGGCCCCGTCGCCCCGTCCCGGCCCTACCGCACCAGCCCGGCCCCGTCGCGCCAGCCCGGCCCCGTCGCACCCTGCCCGGCCCCGTCGCAGCCGCCCGGCCCCGTCGCACCCGCCCGGCCGCCGTCCCGCTCGCCCGGCCACGTCGCACCGGCCCGGCCCTGCCGCCCTCGCCCGGCCCCGCCGCGCCCAGCCCGGCCCCGTCGCGCCCAGCCCGGCCCCGTTGCGCCCGCCCGGCCCAGTCGCGCCAGCCCCGGCCCTGTCCTCCTCCCTGGTACGGTTCCCCCCCACCCCGCACCACAATGTACTGCCTTGCACCGCACTACACCGCACTGCACCGCACTGCACCACACTGTACCGCACTGCACCGCGCCCCACCTAGCTGCACT